AGCTTCATCCTCCTGATCATCGGGGAAAGGGACAGAGGCCACCGCTGGCGGGACTCACGAACACCCTCTTCGACACAATGTGGCTAAATGTGGAGCCGGTTCGTCTGGCCAGAGGCCTGTACAGCTTGACCAGCAGTCTCAGGTAAATGTCCTGGCTCTTGGGCTCTGTGCGTCTAACCATCCGGTCCTGTTTGTGGCTGGCGTCGGCTCCCGTGATGGCGCCTCCTGCTCAGCCAGGTCTGGAAAGATCGCTCAGCTCCTTTCCCAACGCATTACCCACAGATGCCACTAGCTCCCTCTCCAGGCAAAGTCTGTGACAACCAAACAAAGCCTCTGCCAGCCCCGGGGCAATGACACCAGCCTTCCCGATTGTCACAATGAACATTAACTCCTGTGGTCCAGATGTTGGGCCAGGGAGCAAGCCTGTTACAGAGATCATCGGTCTCCCTCTAGACCCACAACAACTTAGGTGGTGGAGACTCTTGTCTTCATAAGTACTTCATGGGTGAGAAAGTTAAGGCTCAGAGCAGGGAACAGACTTTGCCCAAGGCCAGGCATCTGGCCAGTGGAGGAGTTGGTCCTCTGGGCTCGGAGTTCGGATAAGCACGACCTGGGTTGGCCTGAGGTGGTGAAGCATTTCGTATGCATTGTCACCAGCCTGACCTAGTCGGGGCATCCACATGCTGCCCTTTTTACTGGGTCTGCACAGGGTCCTTGGGAGGACAGCAAGGACAGCCAGGAGACTCAACGATGACCGATGTGGTATCGGGAATTTCCAGGCCCCTGGGGTCTCCAACCGGTATCACCACCCTCCCTGCCTCCTGCACGCACGCAAGTGGGGGAGGGGCAGAGAGGACAGAGGGACTCTGCCGTCAGCGCAGAGCCTGACGCAGGCCTCGACCCCACGAACTGTGAGATCGTGACCTGAGCCGAAGCCAAGGGCAGGACGCTTAACCCACTGAGCCCCCCAGGCGCCCCCAGTAAATGCACTCTTTCGCTACCCTTCAATCCTGTTCAGACTTGCAGGGTTGGAAGGATCCTTGGATATCATCCTGTCCAGACCACAGCAGGTGCTTCAGTATCTCCTCCAGGATCTCAGCCAAGGGATCGGGCTGTGCACGAAGACTCCACCTGCGAGGTGCTCGCCATTCCTCAGAAGGGCTGTCCCATCTTGGGGCACCTCTGGCTGCTTGAAGTGGAAAGGGCACGAGACGAGGAGAGATGACCTTGGACGAGTCACTTCCTCTCTGAGCCTCAGCGTCCTCACCTGCGGGGTGGGTGACGCGGACATACAACACAGGTGAAAATTCTTAGCGCAGCACCTGCGCGTACCAGGTGCTCCCTAAGAGCACTTGCCGCTAACGGTACAAATACGTAGGGCCTTCCTGGAAGGCAAATGCAGGTGAAGCGAATTCCAAAGGCTCATGCCGTGCGCAAGGTGTGCATTATTAATACTCTTTCGCAGGTGAGGAAACAGCCTCAGCGGCCACCCGGAGTCAGACAGCTTCAGCCCGAGTGTGGCTCCTGACGCTATGTGAACTTGCAACTTCACGTGAGCCTGAGATGTAGTCAGAGGTCAAGGGCAGCGGGTCACCAAAGGGCTTGCCCCCTTCCCCTCTTCAGAGGTTCTGAGGGTGCACACAGCACCGATAGCTTTGCAAGGGAGGAGGCAGGAGCCCCAAGAAAGGTCACAACTTGCCCGGGGTCACCCAGCGAGCCACGCTCAGAACCCCAACTCCTCCCGAGTCACTGCTCTGCTTCCCAGGCAGGCTACCTCGGGAACGGGGGACATTTTCCGGCTTCGGATTTGACCTGGCACTCACGAGTCTTGAGGCTCCGAATACCTCCAAAGCCAAGACTTAGTCTTCCCTGCCATAGCTTACAAGCTCTGGCTTTGATCCGCACTCTGTTCACACTCACGCAGGTACACACACACACACACACACACACACACCACCTCTCCAAAGTCCTCTGCAATCCTCTAGCCATGCCGACGCTGCTTTCGGTTTCTGAATGCACTAGGACCTTTCCTGCCTCCAGACCTTTGCATGTGTTATTCCTCTGCCCGGAACACTCCCCCTCCCCTCCCCTCCTCTCCTGACCACGAAGAACCCAGTTCTTCTCATTCTCTAAGACTCCATCAGAATAGCACTTCCTGGGAGAAGCCCTTCGCTGACTAAGCTAAACTAGCTACAGCCGAGTCCATTCCTCCCATTTGCCGCCTCTTGCAACATTTATCACAGTTAGTAATGACACATGTAAACGTTTTATAGTTTCCTCCTCCTTAGATTGTAGGCTCCGTGGAGCCAGGCTGACTTTATTTACCCTTGCCTCCCAAGAGTCCAGCACAGTGCAGGTCAGATTGAGCTCAGCAAGTGTTTGCTGAATGGATGGATGGAAGGAAGGAAGGGAGGGGAGAAACCTGGAAGGCTTGGGTCCTTGGGCTTGGCACAGCCAGCTCAGCTGTGGACTTGGGAGAATCACTTCAATTCTCCGAGGCTGTGGGAATGCAAGCTGGTGCAGCTCCTCTGGAAAACAGTATGGAGGTTCCTCAAAAAAGTAAAAACAGAGCTACCCTACGACCCAGCAATCGCACTACTAGGCATTTATCCAAGGGATACAGGTGTGCTGTTTCGAAGGGACACATGCACCCCCATGTTGATAGCAGCACCATCAACAATAGCCAAAGTATGGAAAGAGCCCAACTGTCCATCGATGGATGAATGGATAAAGAAAATGTGGTGTATATATATACAACGGAGTATTACTCGGTGATCAAAAAGAATGAAATCTTGCCATTTGCAACTATGTGGATGGAACTGGAGGGTATTATGCTAGTGAAATTAGTCAGAGAAAGACAAAAATCATATGACTTCACTCATGAGGACTTTAAGAGACAAAACAGATGAACATAAGGGAAGGGAAACAAAAATAATATAAAAGCAGGGAGGGGGACAAAACATAAGAGACTCATAAATATGGAGAACAAACAGAGGGTTGCTGGAGGGGTTGTGGGAGGGGGGATGGGCTAAATGGGGGAGGGGCACTAAGGAATCTACTCCTGAAATCACTGTTGCACTATATGCTAATTCGGATTTAAAAATTTTTTAAAAATAAATAAAAATAAAATTAAAAATAAATTCTCCGGGGCTGTTTCCCAGAAAGTAAGACAACAATAATAGTCCCTCCCGAGAAGAGATAAAGGTTAAGTGAGATAGTGTATAAGATGCAAGGCCAAGGACAGAGTAGGTGTTGTGGGTTATAGTGTCCCCTCCGCCTCCCCCCCCAGCAAAAACATGTTGAACTCCTAACCCCCAGCCCCTTGGTGGACTTGTTTGTAAATAGAGTCTTTGCAGATGTAATTAGCTGAGATGAGGTCATCCTACAATGGGGGGGGGGGGCCCTAATCCAGTAGGACCAGGGCCTTATAAAATGTCGGTGTCTGATTCACCCCGGTCCCCGACATGCAGCACAGAGCAAGCCCATGAGTGCTTGTGAAGTGTGCTAGAACACATCAGTGACCGTGTGAGAGCCCTGTGCCCTCAGTGGTTGGACGAAAAGGTCCATTTCCTGTTGTCCTTGGCTGGCTGGGATCTGCTTCACGCTGTGCCCTGGGAAGAAAGGTGGAGGGAACTTGTCCAGGCTAAGACACGGGGGTAAATGGAGAGGATCTGGTCCACCCCCAGGTTTCCCGTGCTTCTCTGCACGGCATTCTTTCCCATGCCTTCTTCTCTTGGTATGACAGCCGGGGAGCCTCCTTTGATGGAGAAAGGGGAGGAACGACCTTCCAGATCACCTGCTCCGGGCCTTTAAATATCAGCTGGGTGGGACATCCTCTCCTACAAAAGGCCAGGCTGCTGACAAGCCACCGGTAGGCTATGCTCATAGCTTAAAATGTTGATTAAAAATCACTTCCAAGCCCTTTATGCACCAATCGCCCAGACGCAGGGTCCTCTTGGGGATGGAAAAGCAAACCTGGGCACAGGGAAGCCTCCTGAATTGCTCTGTGTTGTCATTGATGGCAAGCCATCGGGGCTGAGGCCGGGAGATTGGGAGGGAGGTGTGGTCAATGTCTAGCCTTTGGGCTCCTGTAGAGAGACTTTGGCCTTGCTTCTTACTTGGACTGGTAGGTGGGCGGGTTTCCTAAAGATCAGAATGGGCTTCGTATCCTGGGCAGCTGAATCAAGAGATGAGTGTTTGCTACCCGAGGGATCTCTGGTTGTTTCTGTTTTCAAGACACAGAGACCAGCTCAGAGAGAGGAAGTAACTTGTTCAAGGTTGCATAGCTGTCAAGTGGTGGTGCCAGACTCATAGCCAGCCCGACCGCACGTTCATTTCTGAAGCAGATTCAGCAGAGCAGTGCATGAGGGCTCTAGCTCAGCAGAGGGGCAGAGGGCAATGCCATAAATGGAGAAGGGCGCGGGGGCACGGACTGTGGGCGGAAGGCACAGATCAGGGCACAAGGTCAGCTGTGGACATGCTGGGGTGCAGGCCTCACCGGCAGGGTGGACAAGTGTGGGAGGCAGGTCTGGGACCTCGGAAAAGGGTCAGGGTCCGTTTCCATGTGAGTTCAGGCTGCAGGGTGGAGGAAAGCACCCAGGAGCATGCAGAGTGACAGCGGGGGGGGGGGGGGGGCGGGGAGAGGAAGAGGGAATCAGAGAAGAGTTCACGTGTAAAGGGCTGGCATTCGTTGCATATTTGCTGTGTGCCCAGCACTGTTCTGACCCCCTCGGTGGATTCGCTTATACACAGCTCTCTGAGGTAGAGCCTACTATGTTATGCCCATTTTACAGATGAGGAAACTGAGAGGCAAAATAGCTTATCTGTGTCGGCAAGCTAGTAAGTGGTAAAGCCCAGGTTCAACCCATCCGTCCAGCCTGTGTGCTTGGCCAGCATGCCACCCAACCTCTAGATTAGATGGTCGCTGGTGACTCTGTTGAGTTTTCTCCAAACGGGGGGGGAGGGGGCAGGAGTGAGGATAAAGCCATCAGTCCTTGGAATGAGTTTGAAAAAAGGGTAATGAGACTTGACATTTACATGCGTATAGAGTCTACAGAGGACATCATACGTCTGACTTTGTTCAGCCCTTAATATAACTGACAGATGAGCAGGACAAGGCCATTGTCTCTGCATCGTTTCGGATACTGGGAAATGGAAGCCCTATGGAGGTCGGCGGGCTCCTCAAGGTCATAGTGCGAGGCTGTGTCAGAGGCTTGACCTCAACTCTTCAGATGCTGGAGTAGCATTTACCACTCCTGAAGGGGATGCAGGGCCGCTGAGAGGAGAGGTGTCTGGAGGGGCTGTAGGCTTGGGGAGAGGAATGGAAAAAGTCAAGAAGGAGGGGTTCATTCACTGCCTTGACTGACAGCATCTGAGTGGAGGAGACCAGTCAGAATCCTAAATGAGGGTGTTGGGCCCGTGGGGAGGCAATGGGGAGCTTCTCAGCTTGGGGTTCTCATCTGGGCATCATCGTTGAGTCACTCAAAGCTGACTCAGGATGGACCTTCATGGAAACGTGCGGCATAGTAGCAAGAGCAGGGCTACAATCAAATGCTGGTGCTTGCCACTTAGTAGCCGTGTGGCCCAGGGGCAAGGCCCCTAAGCTGCCACTTAGTAGCCACGTGGCCCAGGGGCAAGCCCCCTAACCTGCCACTTAGTAGCAGTTTGGCCCCCCGGGGCAAGCCACTAACCTGTTTGGGGGTCCTCCACATCTCCAACTGCAAATGGGGATAGCCTCCCCCAGCTGACCACGGTCAGGGGTTGGGACAATGTGAGTGCAGCTGGGCTCAATAACGGAGCAGATATTGTGTGGGGGACACCTGAGATTTGTATGTACTTATTTATTGATTATTTATTTATTTATTTATTTTCATTTATTTTTGAGAGAGAGAGAAAGAGAACGAATGAGTGGGGGAGAGGCAGAGACAGAGGGGGACATAAGATCCAAAATGGGGTCTGCACTGAGAGCAGTGAGCCCGATGCAGGGCTCCAACCCACGGACCGCGAGATCGTGACCTTAGCCGAAGTCAGACGCCAGACAGACTGAGCCACCCAGGTGCCCCCAGAGATTTCCTGCATACCTCCCGCCCCCCCCAACCCCCCACATGGCCTCTCCCTTTTACCAAAGTCAGCTTCATTGAAATTTTGTTTCCAACACTCAGAGGATAAAAACCAAAATGGGCGGATACTTTTGAAATCTTCCTGCCTAAATCCGCTGTTGTGCAGAAGGGGAAACTGAGCCCCAGAAAGGGAGATTACATACATACCCCAGGTCAGAGAGCCAAGGAGGCCCAGCTCCTGCTTTCTGCCAGTGGGCACGCAGGAGCTGAGAGGCATCACAAAGCATTCCGGACTCAGGGGTGTGGTCACAAAACCACTGCCCCAGCTGGCATGGGCCTGAATCCTTGCTGGCATCCAGGACATCCAGGTCGGAGGGCACTAGGAATGGTCCTGTTCCCGCTCTCACCGCCACCCCCTCATGGAGGGGCCAAAGAGCGGCAGCCCCGGGTCCTGGGGCTGGAGACGCGAAATGAATGGCTGCCGACTTATGCTGAGAAAATCCTGAAGTGGGCTCCTGCACACCCATACCGATTGTGCCTTAACACCAGAGTCCTCCGGCCTCTTTTCCTTCCCTGCGGATCACAGCCCTCAAGAGCCAAGGAACTACTGTTATTCTGGTTTGAACTCAGCTGATCATTTCTCAGAAGGCTTAAGAAAGGTCTCAGGCAGGGTGGCATAGTAGAGAGTGCAGGGTTCCTGTTGGAGACGCTGTTCCCAATTGCTCACCTGAGCGAGCAGGGTTGTTTTCTCTCCGCATGTCCTCTTGGACTACGGTACAGATGGCCATTCGGTCATTTGCCCACAAACCGGCAGGTCTCACGATGGGTCTGTGAACGCTGCGGACAAGATGACGTCTCTCCTGGGATGCAGGTCTTGGGGTTGGGGGTGGGGGGAAGGCTGAGTTTAACGACTAAACAAACATACAATCGAGATGATTTCATACACTAATAAGAACTAGGAAGAAAAAACAAAAACAGGGCGGTTGCATCACGACCGGGAAAGCAGATCACTCTACGCTGGGGATCAGGGAAGGTGTCTCTGAACAGAGGACATTGTAGCTGAGCCCTGAAACAAGAAGGAGCCAGCTATGCAAAGATATGGGGGAGAGATGATTCAGGAAGTGCAAAGTCCCTGAGGTTGGAGTCAGCCCAACCTTCCAGGACTTTTCTCAAAGCAAAACCATCTGAGGCACAGGGAGCTATTTTGTTAAGGAAACAAAGTAACCGAGACACTTTCATTCTCTAATCTAGAATCTTCCCCTACCATCTCTAAATCCTACTAATCCTAGTTAATTCCTGCTCAGTTTAAATACTTCTGCCCTCTAAGAAGCCTTCTGATTTCACTACTTCATGGTTTAGAAAACCTGGTCTGTGGCAAAATGAGAAAAATAAGGTTAGTAAACTCTTGTGTGTTTGTGTGTATAGCTATAACATTGCCAACCGAGTTTCCTTTCTTCTCAGAATATCCGAGATACATTGTTACTATTTTTATTTTTTGCCGTTCATAAATTCTTTCCCAAAATGAGTGTAGATGACAGCAACGTTACCAATGTGGCAAAAATTCAAAGTTGATCGCTCTGCAAATCCCTCCCATTTGGAGGGAGCTCTCACTGGTCTGGGAAATCCCGGGTTTGGGGGTACCTGGCAGCTCGGCTCCTTTACTTGGCTCTCCCTTGCTCCAGACCACCCTGGCTTTTCCACACCCTTCCTGCTTCTCCCTCCCTTTTTTAGGCTGAGCTCCAAGAAGGCTGGGCCACCCCGGCCTGGCCCGGAGCCAAACCCAGCACAGGTGCTCAGAAGATGCTGACTGAATGAATGCACTGTGATTTGTGATTGAGGCACACTCAACCGCGATGAACCTCTGAACCTCGCAAAACAAAACTGTGAGCAAGCTGACGCAACGGAGCCGCGCAAGGGAAGACCCCAGCACTCAGAGCCCGGAGTCCGGATTCCAATCCTGCCTCCTCTGAGACGCAGCGTGGTACACGGAGGTCAGAAGCGTCCCCCTCCCCCTCTCCCCAACCCACTAGCATCAAGGCTTAGGAAAAATAACTTTCTCTGAGCCTCAGCTTCCTCACCTGTGGTATGGGGATGACAACATCCAGGGTTCTTCCGAAGAGTAAAAGAAATGTGTGCAGAAAACCACTTTGTAGGTAGTATGTAAATGAGAGTTCTCCATAGCCATCCCTCCAGCAGCCGGCGCACTGCCCAGCTGGCCCCTTCCCAGGTTCTGCTTCCGCTTCTGCCTTGAGCCTGTGAGCTGGTGGCCTTGCAAGTCCTGAACAGAAGAGCTCGGCGCCTGGCGCCCGGTGGGTGCTCAATAAATCAATCAATGAACAATGACCCCAGGCAGGTCACTCCCTCCTCCGGACGGGTTTCCTCTCGGTAAATTGGTGATCTCCCGGGCTCCACCCTCCTATCGTACTTGAGTATTCGCTTTTTAAGGACAGGACTGGGAATCACAGTTAAGTCAGGTGGGTGGGTGTGAAGAGACTTTGATTAAAAGGTTAGTGCTCATTTTTGGTTCCTACTTTCGAATGTTCCAGAATTTATTTTTGCCTACTTAATAAAAAGAGCCGTGTCACATTTCTTTAGCTGGTCTTCTGGGTTTCTTTAAAAAAAAAAAAAAAAAAAATTGGAGTCTTTATTTTAAACCGCCCACTCCAGCCATCCCAGGACGCGGTTAGGAGGGGGCGCAGACAGGTGGAGCTTGCACCCGGAAAGGCGGGGGCTGCACCGGGCCGCGGGTGGGGCGGCGCACCGCCAGCCGCGCTGCCCCAGCCGGGTCTGGGGTCCGGGGTGGGGCAGCCGCGGCGGAGTTCAGGG